AGTGCATACACCACATCACTCCGCCTCCCCTCCCACAGCCAGTGGTACGAGCCTCCCACAATGCAGTAGCAGGCCAGGGAAGGGTACTCTCTTGGCAACGCTGACAGGATCCCGGGGTGGCACCGGCGAGTCGCCATGAAAATGAAACGCACATTTGGAGCATTGACAATAGGAGGCCGTGGTGCTTTGGGCTCCCTGTTGCTGCTGCTACTGCTGTTCTATCCTCCATCCCCATCAGTCCCTCTCCTTCGATACCGGTAACTATCATCAACTTCCTCCACTGTAGCAATGTAACTAACCCCGTCAGCAACCCTGCCGTTCACACCAATCCCAAGGCAGCGCAGGCGGCTCCACTCCACATGCAGGTCCTCAAGAGGCCAGCCATGCCTCACTATAAGGATCTCCACTGTTGGTGCTATGCTGCCAAGCCACTGCGTAGCAGATGTTGCAAAGATGGAAGGCGGGAAATGAAGCGACGACGAGGTTGAACCAGAACGGTCAACGTGTCACCCAGGCTCTTCTAGGCTGGTGGGTCCGTTCAAGTATACAGTTTTGGCAGACGCGAGAGGGAGCGAAGAAACAGCGAGGTTCTTCCGGCCGACCAACGTGAGATAGTCGAGAGAGGGAGGGCTGCTGCTGGCATGACAGGCGAGTTCAAGCGACTCTGCCGTAACGGAGAAAAGCTTTAAAGAGGCAGGGAGGGAGAGGCGCAGGTCCAGATGTTGCTTCTCACAGCTGATGTCGATAACTACCGCAGCGAAAAAGGAGAGAGTAACCCTATAGAAGCCCCCAGTGGAGGCACTTAGCTTGAATTCGTGCAGCTGTGGTGTGATTGCACCCAGGAACGACAAGTCCCAACTACCACGGTTCGCATTGTCCATGGTCAGGCTCCTCAAATGATGTAACTGTGCAGAATCAAATCCACGCAGTCGCCAGTTGCCAGGGCCCAGCTTCAAACGCTGCAGCTGCGGAAACGCATCCCTGAGAACGGCCAGGTCAAAAGGCTTGTGATGCTGTTTATTGCGCCGCCGGGTATAAGCCCTCTTTGTGAGCTAGGTGGAGGCATGTGAGGGAATGGGCGGAGGGGGCCATGAGGTGGGCAAGAGTCTGTAGATCGTCGGAGGTGGTGAGAAGGAATTCAAGAGCAGTGTGCGGTGTCTGTTTGAGGAACCAGGCGAGTGTGCTCTGCCACTGGGGGACTTCGTGGCAGAAGGCGAGCATGATGGGCTGCAGCTCCTGCACGTACACAGCACACACAGGGATGGTGAAGGCCAGTTGCGTTCTAAAAGTTGACTTCAAAGGTCAACTTGCTGTCTGCCACTTGGGGGACTTCGTGGCAGAAGGCGAGCATGATGGGCTGCAGCTCCTGCACGCACAGCACACACAGGGATGGTGAAGGCGAGAGCACAACATGAAAACGTTGCAGCGTGTGGCTAAACATGGCATGGCATGGCATCTAGACTAACTAGTCTCACGCCATGAATGTAGACATGGGAGCAGGAGGAACGAGGCAGCAGCACAGCATCCACTCACGGAGAAGGAAGGAGGTGTCATGGTGGAGGAGGAGTAGATGGGCGGAATGAGGGAAGCAGTGCAAGACTTGACTCACGGAGAAGGAGAGGACATGGTGGAGAAGCCTCTTGCTGGCAACAGCAGCGCAGAGCAGAGGCCACGCGGGACCGTACAGCTTGTTGTTCTCGCCATGTTGCACCCTCGCCGTCAGCAGATCCACCAAGGCACTCGAGCTGCTGTCTTCTCCCTGCGATGATACTTCCTCCGGAGATTTCTCCCTGTTCTGCAGCTGAGCGGAGTTGAGTGGCGGCAGCAGGAGGTGGCGGAAGATGATGTGCCAGATGGGGCCGGGCAGCAGATCAACCACGTCCACACTCTGATGGGTGGGTGGGAGAGAAGCACTGGAGATGAGAGCGGAAGAGACGGGGAGAGCGAGAATAGGAGAGGATTAGGGGAGGATGCGCTAGGCAAGTCGGATTCACTGTTTGCAACATCACTCTCACCTCGTGGGAACCTTCAGCACCGGAGGGCTGTGAGGGCTGTGTGAGTTTGAATGCAGCCATGGTCTCTTAAAAAACCGTATCACCATGGCTGGAGGCCATCGCCCGGGTGACAATTCCGGGATTCAATTCGTCTAGGGTTTCTAAAATTCGTCAGATGTTCGACTACTGAGGGTCTCAAGAGAGCGAAACCAGGACTTCTCGCAGGTCCCTTATTGGATTTTGAGGTCCACCTGGCATTGCTTTCGCTGACGGTGAGTCGAGCTCGCGAACCTCAAATCTCAAAGGGCAAAGATCATACTGGGGCCGGAAAATAGCAGGGAGGTGTCCAAATTAGGGCCGGGTAAATCCTGACCGTTCGATACATCCCCGTAGCTGCCCATGTGGCTGGGCCGATTACCCGAACCGAGATTATGAGGAAATTACTAAAATCAAGACGTGTTTCATTCAATATTTTTCTCATACTAAGCTCGCGTCGTATTCCTCTGGAAGTATGTTTCTTCGTGTATTTTTTAAGAGACACATCACTCAACGTGACAAAAAAAAAATTCCCGCTCGGAAACGGATGCGACTTGCGGGGTCCCGTGTTTAGGGTTGATCCCTCCCGAAAAGACGCCCGGGTTCGCTAAGGGTTTTAGTTTTTTTCCCTTCCCTAACAGTTACCGGTAGCGTCGTCTAGTGCTTGGTGGCGCTATCGGCGTAAAGTTTCCTCTCAATCAGTCACGACGCGTAAGAACCTCTGACAAGTGAAAACAATTTCACGATTACGGGAATTCCAGTAATTTACTCTAAATGTCTAGGTTCGACTACCCGGCCCTAATTTGGACACCCCTCTGCTATTTTCTGGCCCCAATATGATCTTTGCCCAATCTCAAATCTCTAATACTGCGAGCCTTCTCCTGGACGTCCCAGACGACGCTCGCCGCAAGCACGCCATCGTGAAAACCCTAGCACCCTCGCCGGTCAGGGTCAGCCACGACAAGGCTCGCCTGTCGTCGTCGCCATAGCGGCGCGGCGCCAGCAAACAGCGACGCGGCGGGCTGATTGAGTCCGTAGCACGTGACACGGTGAGGAGCGTGAAACGGGGGAAACTCCTGCACGGCGTGAGGACGGTGAAGTGAACCCGCGGTGAGTTCCGCAGGGCGTTGCCTCTGGGCAACCCCCTTCCAGAAAGAAGCGAAGGATGCGAGTCGCCATTCTCAATCAAATCTATATGTATCAAAAAGAAGTACCAATGATAAGCATGTTGCTGCGTTGGCCCTACAGGTGGATGCGGAGTCCCATGCTTCTGCTGCCACGTGTTGGCCAGCAAACGATTTTTTAGCAGTTTTGAGGCTTTCCTAATATCGTTTCACACGCTTCAGTCATGCAACCCCGTGGTTCCACCGCTAGCAGCTACACACGCGTCGACAGCTAGCGGTGAACAAAATCTCCTTGTACCTTGTTGGCGCGTTCGACTCAGTATCTCTAGCTGCCGATACCGCAGCAATCAACGATACCAGTGAATGCATGCAGGACACTTCGAGTTGTACGGCGTCAACGATAGCAGTGAATCGCGTTCATCGCGTCGTTAGACTCTCAACCAACGAGTTGCAAAGCTTCTTTACACCTCGCTAAACTAGAAAGGTCTAGGTACCTCCGCACCTCATAATGCTAGTTTCGTAAGCGAAGCCGCGTTTACCCGTTTGAAAGTGTCTCAATTCACGGCAAACTAAATTCGTCGCTGTAATCGTAAAACCTAAATGGAATGCATAGCACCGAAGTTTAGCGAAATACCTAAAAGCACTGTGCTGTTACGCATATAATCAAAAGTTCACTCTGGTGCGCAATGGTCTAGAGCGGTGCAGAACGATGATCACTCCAGAAGTACCTGGCCGTATCAAACCGTGTCAAAAAACTGTGAACCAAGAAGTACCAAGAAGAACCGCCCTAAGCCACTCACAAATCAACTATAGCTGAAGGACGAAGTAGCGGAACAACAAGAACGCCAGGCCAGACAGCCGGAAACTGGATGCTAGGCAGCTAGATTCGCGACAAGTACGCTCTAGTCTAATGTCGAGTGCATATGCACGACTCGTGAGCCGAAAGTATATTAGTCATCCCCAGGCGGATTGGGTGCTTATGATCGTTCGATCGCCATGGCATCGCTGGAACGTGCTGGCGATGGCACAGCCGAGCTGAGAGAGAGCGAGCGACGAGAGAAGAAGAGACAGAAGAGCAATTCCGACCCAAAAGGCAAGCACTGCTACTATTGCTTCGCGTCTCAGCATCCCGCTTTTCGCGCCAATGTTTTCACGCTCAGAACGAGAAGCACCTTCCTGCTTAGATAACTCTCGCTGGCATTCCGTGTCGGTTAGTTCCCCTCCCATCCACCGCACTCTGTTCTGTCCGTCATTTGCCCTTACTTCCTCGTAGCGTGCGTTCAGTGCGAACCTAGTAGCTCATGCAGTATTCATAGATTCCCTTTTCGTCCCTCTACAGATCCCGTCTCAATTCCTATCATTTTCACACCACTGCACCGTTCTCTCTCTTCCCTCTTCTCTATCGCTCATGCTGGATTCAAAGCATTAGATCGTTGAATTCCACTGCGTCACCCTCATGATTTGCACCATCGGGCCTTTTTGGCCCTGGTGGGATTTGGTGGGTGCTTCGAGAAGTGCTTGCATGGTAATGCCAGAGAAGATCACTCACAGATATCGTTCAACACAACTCAATTCTAATCCCACCCATCCCACCCATCTCACCCATCTCACCCACCCCACCCATCTCACCCACCCCGCCCATCTCACCCACCCCACCCATCTCACCCACCCCACCCATCTCACCCACCCCACTCATCCCACCCTTCTCACGCATCTGTCCTTCCAGCTGCCACCCCCCCTGATACCATAAACCCACTGCTGGCGTCTGACGTTCCCCTTTCATCCCCCCTATCGTTCCCTTCCCCACCTATCTCATCCAGTCGCCACCCCCCGTGATCCCACTGACATGCTACCGGCGTCTCTCTGGCACCGGGTGTTCCGCTGCCTGCTGCTGCCACCCGGCTCCTCCCACCCCGACACCCCCCTCGTGCGGGGCAGGTGCAAGATGCCCTGGTGCCTCACCGCCACCATGCAGCCCCCAGCGGGCAGAAACCTGCCCGTGAAACTTGTGGACCCTGACTTCACGGCAGTCGGGCAGCACCGGAAGAATGTGAAGAGCTATGGCAGCGGGTGGGCCCTGCTGTGCTGCGCCATGGCCAGCAAGAGGCTACTCACCCTCGTCCTCTCCTTCTCCGTGAGTGCCTTGCTGCTCTGCCTGTGCTTGACTTGATGTTTGGAAACCCTTGGCTGTGAGTGCTCACCTCTTTTTCCCACAACCGCCACATATCCAGCCGTTTTCAGCCCCATACCCTTCAGTGTGCCTTATCTCAGCGTCTTACCCGTTGCACTTGGGATTTGAGCGCGCTAACTGCTGACAAGGGTCATAGGTTCTGAAACGCATGCCATCTGTAATCCAACATGAGTTGGATCTGTATTTGCTAGAACGGGTCCGGACAGTTCAAAAGAGCAACAACCAATCAAACACCAGATTTCCCATCCCATTCCATCGCTTCTTCCTCTCTGCAGGCCCAGCACAGCACCCCATCGCTCTGGTCTTAAAACACTACTTCAACCATCTGCGCCCACAGTGGGAGAAGAGCTCTCACTCTCTCTCCTCCGTTGCTTCTTCCTCCCTGCAGGCCCAGCACCCCATTTCCTTGGTCTACACTACAATGATCTGCACTCTCACCCTCAGGTCCCTCGCCCTCACCTACACGCACATCATGCCCCTCTCCCACTTTCATAGTCTCTCCTCCATTCGCACCCATCCATCTCCGCAGGCCCAGCACCCCATTGCCTTAGTCTACAACGACCTACACCCGCAGTGGGAGAGGAGCGTTGCCTTCTTCCTGCGCTGGCGCGGCCTCAGGTCCCTCGCCCTCACCTACACGCACATCATGCAACTCCACACGCTCTGCTCGCAGGACCAATGGCAGTTCTCCTCCCTCACCTCGCTCGCCCTCAAGCTGCGCGGCTGTGTGGACTCCTCCCACTTGTTTCGGAACGAGGAGGAACTGGCTGATAGGGATAACATAGAGCAGGAGTACTGGACCCAGTACTTGGACTGCCCACGTATGCAGCGGCTGAAGCTGGGCCGCGGCAAGTGGGTTCTACGAAACGGCTGGGCGGACGAGTTCAAGGCGCTGCGCAGTTTGACTCTCAAGCACGTGGACTGGAGCTACGTGGATTTCAAGTATCTCGCCACAATCACGCCGCGGCTCACTGAATTCACGCTTTATGAGGGCTGGGAATTGGATAACCCGTCCGTCGGGCCTAGGACTAGGATTGATGGCAACAACCGATTCTGTTTCGACTGCTCATCAGCTCGCGCTCTCCGGTTCTACTTTGCACAGAGCAGCCTCACGCTCTTCCTCACCCTCTCCCGCTCGCTCAAGGCCTTCTCAGCCGTGGCCAAACGCCTCGTCCTCTCCTGCAAGAGCCCCGCTCCTCTCTATCTCGACCACCTCTCACTCTACGGCCAGGAGCGCCTCGTCATCTCCTCCCTCCCCGTCGCATCTGTCCGAGTGGCCTACCTCAACGGCCCTCCTAGAGACTGGCACTCCCGCGATGATGCCTACTCATCTCAAAAAACGGATTCTTCCCACTGGGCCACCCCTGCTCCATCCCCTGACTGGCAGCGCTCGCACCGCAGCAGCTCCCCTGAGTTCTCCTGGGTTGCATGGCTGGGTGCTATAGCGCGGAGAGTGGAGGTGCTTATAGTGAGGCACGGTGTGGCTGTAGAGAAGGTGGAGGTGGAGTGGAGCTGCCTGCGCAGCCTTGGGATTGTCGTGGAGAATGAGGAGCGGTTTGAGGTGGATTGGGAGGATGAGAAGTGTGAAGATGATGGCGAGAAGGAGGTTACAGTGGAGGAGTTTCGAGAGAGGAATCAAAGGCAGAGGATTTTGCAGCAGCAGCGGCGGCAGCAGGCGGAGCAGCAGGAGGAGGAGGATGGGGAGGAGGAGGAGGGGGTGCAAGCAGGGAAACCCCCTGTTATCAGGGCTCCGAACTTGCAAGCAATCTTTGTCCCCACCCGCACATGCGAGCAGCAGACCCTTGCTTCCCTACGCGAATCCTGTCCCTCCCTCGCCCTGTACTGCATCGCAAGTCGTTCTTTCTACTGGAAGAAGCAGGGGAAGGAGTTGACCGAGATCCCTGTGGTTCATGAGAGGAAGGGGAGGAGCGGCGTGTCGAGCAATGGCTTTGGGGAGAAGCGGCCGAAGAATGTGAGGGAGAAGATGCATTGGGTGAATTGGGAGCTGGTTGAAGGGTACAGTGTTGATAAAGATGAGGCTTATATTTTGAAATTCAAAGGGACCATCTGGAGGGGTTATTGTTCTTATGGCATCTAGAATGTATTAAAGCTTTTGTATACATTTGCTTCTACTGTTTAGGGTTGTACAGTAGCCAGGGTACAATTCGCCAGAGCGAAACATCGGAGGTTGGCGAGAGGCTTGGCGAAAAATTGCACCCCTGAGGAGTTCCTAAGACGGAAAACTCCCGTCACCCAACCTTGCACTCACGCGTCTATTCCGAAGGCTACGCATAGATAGAGGAACCGGGGCGCAGCAACATAATATGCGGAGCATCAAAACCGCCCAGTTACGGAACGGGTGAGAAGAGTTTAGGTACATTATAGGCTTGTACGGTCGGAAAAGGACCATCTAACTTGCCCGCCAGCTACTTCCACCGTAGCGCCGTGCATCAATCCGACTCGAAGACGGAAAGGCCCTGCATTCATCGAGCGCGTCGTGTTCAGCAATTTCGTCTGGCCCGTCTAAGCCCTGTCAAGGGCGCCTCGACGGGATGCATCTCCACCCAGGGATTGATAATTAGGGGTCGACGAGCGAATCGCACAGTTCCATTCGCCGTTCGCCACGCCGCCACTGTCTACACCCGCTCGGTAGGCATTTCCCACTTAGCGCCTCACCCACTGCTCTGGTTTCCTGGTATGGAGCCTCGCGAGGCTTAGCGCCTCGCCCTCTGCGCGCCATGCCGCGCAGAGTATCACTCGCTGCGCGCCTCCCCCGCTTAGCGCCTGACCCGCTGTGCGCCTCCCCCGCTTAGCGCCTGACCCGCTGCGTGACTCCCCCGCTCAGCGCGTGACCCTCTGCGCGCCTCCCCCGCTCAGCTCCGCACCCGCTGCGCGCCTGTCCCGCGTAGCGCCTCGCCACCTGCGCGCCGTTCCCGCGTGTCGCCGACACCCTCTCCCGCTTAGCACCGCACCCGCTGCGCGCCTTCCCGCTTAGCGCATCCCCTTCATATTACCCCTTCAAGCCCTCATTTCCCCCCCCTGCTGCTTATCACTACTCCCACTGCTCCCCTTCATGACCCCTCTTGCTGCTTATCCCTTATTACAACTGCTCCCCCTCCCCTCCTGCTGCTTATCACCTCCCCCACTGCTCCCCTTCTATTCCCCCCCTGCTGCTTATCACTTCTCCCACTGCTCCCCTTCATTTCCCCTCCTGCTGCTTATCACTCCCCCCACACCTCCCCTTCATTTCCCCTCCTGCTGCTTATCACCTCCCCCACTCCACCCCTTCATTTTCCCTCCTGTTGCTTATCGCTCCCCCCACTCCTCCCCTTCATTTCCCCTCCTGCTGCTTATCACCTCCCCCACTGCTCCCCCTCAATTCCCCTCCTGCTGCTTATTACTTCCCCCACTCCTCCCCTTCATTTCCCCTCCTGCTCTGCTGCTTATCACCTCCCCCACTCCTCCCCTTCATTTTCCCTCCTGTTGCATTTCGCTCCCCCCACTCCTCCCCTTCATTTCCCCTCTTGCTGCTTATCACCTCCCCCACTGCTCCCCTTCATTTCCCCTCCTGCTTCTTATCACTTCCCCCAATCCTCCCCTTTATTTCCCCTCCTGCTCTGCTGCTTATCACTTCCCCTACTGCTCCCCTTCATTTCCCCTCCTGCTGCTTATCCCTTCCCCCAATCCTCCCCTTTATTTCCCCTCCTGCTCTGCTGCTTATCACTTCCCCCACTCCTCCCCTTCATTTTCCCCCACCCCTTTGCTTTCTTCCACAGCCTTGTCTCCGGCCCCTACGCTTCCCGTTTCCCGTTGGGCATCCCTTGTTATCCCAACGAGAGGGAGTGTATAGCACCCCAAGACGGCTAGGCCGTGGTCTACCACAAGTGAGCTGCATACTTCCCCCTCTCTGCCAATCCATCCCCCCGTTACTGCCCTTCCCCGACTGCCATGCCGTTTCCCTACTGCCCTTTCCTTCCCTGTTATTGCCTTCCCTCCCTTCCCATTCCGGCTTCACATCATCCCTCCATTACTGGGTGATCGACACATTTTCCGATAGTAGAAAACGTCGCACAACGTTCTATTGGTCCCCACACCCATCGTTGCCATGGGTCCATCTTATCCACCACACTTCTTCCTCACCCCTCCATAGCTCAAAGTAGACTCACCTCCCACGCCACATGATCTATAGGTTATTTTTGGAGCCCTGCATGCCCCAACACTCCCATCTGCCCGCCCCTCCTGTGCCTTATTTCATAAGCCCGCCTTGACATGGTCGATGTGACCGCGCATAATTACAAGCCCGCCATCACAAGATCTCTGTCCACCTTCTATTTCGTATCATCACCTCCTCTCCCTGCCCCCTCTTCTTCACATCCCCTCGTCCTCCTGTCCTCTTCCTGTCCCTTCCTTCCTCCATCCCAGCGCCCCTTCCCTCCATGTCCTCCCCTCCTCCTTCCTTATTCCTTCCTGCCACCCTTTATCATCCCCACTTTCCTCCCCAGCCTCTCTTCCTCCTCTCCCTTCTGCTTCTCTCCCCCATGTCCTCCCTACCTCCCTTCTCCCCATCATCACTACCTCCCTCCCCCATTGCATTCTTCGCTTCCATCCTTCCTCCGATCCTCCTTTCTTCATTTTTACATTCCTCCCTTCATCATTTCTCAGCTGTCATTCTTTCGGATGCTTGCTTCCCTGCTACTTCACCCACGTCACATCTGACTTCCTGGTTTGTGTTCGCGCAGGTCTTCTCTGGATGTGGTTGTGATGTGTTGGCTGTTTGATACCAAACGACATATAGACGTGCCATGTATTGGATAGTTTTTTATGATACAGCATTATGTGCTTCAAAGCAGTTCTACACATGACCACTACTTAGGGGTCCAACAACCATTATACTAGTGATATTTGTACGGTACAAGGGGAACAACTCATTTTTATATAATAACAAATATGGGGGGAATGTTATGTTGCTTCCCGGTTTTGTCCGCTACACTGCGATCAATATACCAGGCCGTGGTAAAGCCACAACATCTGCTGCTGGGCACATGTACCCTGCATTGGGGGATATGGTGAGAGGGGGGGAAGAGAGGAAGCAGTGGGAAACAGAGTGAGCAGAAGTGAAGAGAGTGAGCAAGGGGGACGAGAGTGAGAAGAGAAGGGGGGGAGGGAGCACTGGTGAAACAGAATGAGCAACCCTAAACAAAGTGGTGGGGGGGAAGAGAGCGAGCTGGTTGGAAGATAGTGAGCAGAATGAAAGAGGGTGAGTAGCGGGGAATATAGTGAGCAAGGTGGAAAAAGAGGAGGGGGAAGGGAGTGAGAAGGGCGAAACAGAGTGAGCAAGGGGAAACATAGGGAGCAAGGGAATGGGATGGGAGAAGGGAAAGGGGGGAAGCAGGGAAGGGGATGGGGGGGGAAGGGGATGGGGAGAAGCACGGAAGGGGATGGGGGGAAGCAGGGAAGGGGATGGGGGGAAATAGGGAAGGGAATGGGGGAAAGCACGGAAGGGGATGGGGGGAAACAGGGATGGGGATGGGGGGAAGCAGGGATGGGGATGGGGGGAAGCAGGGAAGGGGATGGGGGGAAGCAGGGAAGGGGATGGGGGGAAGCAGGGAAGGGGATGGGGGGAAGCAGGGAAGGGGATGGGGGGAAGCAGGGAAGGGGATGGGGGGAAGCAGGGAAGGGGATGGGGGGAAACAGAGAAGGGGATGGGGGGAAGCAGGGAATTGGATGGGGGGAAGCACGGAAGGGGATGGGGGGAAACAGGGATGGGGATGGGGGGAAGCAGGGAAGGGGATGGGGGGAAGCAGGGAAGGGGATGGGGGGAAGCAGGGAAGGGGATGGGGGGAAGCAGGGAAGGGGATGGGGGGAAGCACTGGTGAAACAGAGGGAGCAAGGGTGAAACAGAGTGAGCAACCCTAAACAAAGTGATGGGGGGGGGAAGGGAGCGAGCTGGTGGGAAGATAGTGAGCAGGGGGAAAGAGAGTGAGTAGCGGGGAATATAGTGAGCAAGGTGGGGAGGGGGAAGAGTGTGAGAAGGGCGAAACAGAAGGAGAAAGGGGGGAGATGAGAGGGAGAAGGGGGGCAAATGGGCAGGTGAATGGGAGGGAAACGAGAGGGGGAAAGGGGGGACATGCGAGGGAGCAAGGCTGCGAATGAGAGGGAGAAGCGGGGAGAAAAAGGAGGAGAAGGGGGGGAAATGAGAGGGAGGAAGGGGGGAGGGGTAATGGGGAGACGGGGAGGGGAAACGGGGTGGCGGAAAGGGGAATTGGGGAGGCGGGAAGGGGAAACGGGGAGGCGGGAAGGGGTACCGGGGAGACGGGGAAGGGGAAAAGGGGTGGCAGAAAGGGGAATTGGGGAGGCGGGAAGGGGAAACGGGGAGGCGGAAGGGGAAATGAGGAGGCGGGGAGGGGTAACGGGGATCGGGATGGGGAAACGGGGTGGTGGGAAGGGGAAACGGGGAGCGGGAAGGGGAAACGGGGAGGAGGGAAGGGGAAATGGGGAGCAGGAAGCAAAATCGGGGAGGCGGGAAGGGGTAATGGGAAGACGGGAAGGGGAAACGGGGTGGCGGGAAGGGGAAACGGGGAGGCGGGAAGGGGAAATGAGGAGGCGGGAAGGGGTAACGGGGAGGTGGGAAGCGGAAACGGGGAGCGGGGAGGGGAAACGGGGAGCGAGAAGGGTCGACGGGGAGGCGGGAAGGGGAAACGAGGAGCGGGACGGGGAACCGGGAAGGCGGGAAGGGGAAACGGGAACGGGACGGGGAAACGGGGAGGCGGGAAGGGGAAATCGGGAGCGGGAAGGGGAAACGGGGAGGCGGGAACGGGAATTGAGGAGGCGGGAAGGGGTAACGGGGAGCGCGATGGGGAAACGGGGAGGCGGGAAGGGGAATTGAGGAGGCGGGGAGGGGTAACGGGGAGCGGGATGGGGAAACGGGGTGGTGGGAAGGGGAAACGGGGAGCGGGAAGGGGAAACGGAGAGGCGGGAAGGGGAAACGGAGAGCGGGAAGGGGAATTGGGGAAGCGGGAAGGGGAAACGGGGTGACCGGAAGGGGTCCTGGGGATTGGAAAGGAGAAACGGGGAGGCGGGAATGCGAATTGAGCTGGCGAGAAGGAAGACGAGGCGGTTGCACGGGGTTGGAAGCTCCCGTTTCTGCTGTCGTTCGCGCACTCAAGTGCGGCTGCTGGGGCTAGTGCCGAAACGTGGTAGCGAGGCAGTCGCGATAGGGCCGCGACTGTGATAGTGCGTGTTCGGCTGTTTGAGACGACACGACGGACGACGAGGAGAGGCCGTGAGAGGAGGTACCGCGGGATCGCCGCGTGAAAGGGAACCACTGACGTTGGTTGAAGTCTATAATTACAAGAAAATGCCCCACGCATTTAGGTTTGTGACGAAAATTTGCAGAATTTGCGCTGGCTGTTGAGTCGATGTGCTTAGCTACGTAGCATGCCAGCTGAAGAGCGTGGTGGCGTAGATCTCACAAAGGCTCGATTTCGTATACTTTTGTCGATCCAAAAGTTTTGAATCACCAGCAAGTGCTGGGTGTCGGGGAGATCTCCCTCCCTTGTTCAGCGAGTGAACTTGCAGGTAATCTAGTTACCAATATTTCAAATTTCAAAAGTTTTGAACCTCCCTCTTTCAAATGTATACAAAAGCTTTAAATGGTGTAGACATGTCAATGGTAGTAATTTATTGGGAAAGAGAGGGGCATAACAAGCTGCAGTAGAAAGGGAGCCTCTGGAGGATACTACCCTTACAGCCTTTAGCATTACACGCCTAGCTGCTTGAAGCATCGAAAGCGTGAGGACCAAGGTGAGTGTTTGAAAATACCTGCCAGAAGATGACGTGCTACCTGATTATGCACTCTTGTAGGTGGTGTGTTACTGTACTAGGTTCCATAAAAAACTCCTTGCGAGTACATATGCAGTACGGTTTTCAAGCAAACAAAACTGGAAATAAATCTGGCTATCAATTCACGACGACAGAGAGGATGAATAGGGCCCACTAGTACACTGACTATCCAAAAGATTTTGCACAAATCCTACATTCTGCTGCCTTTTAAGGTTTCTATCCAAACTTACTCTCTATTCTATGCTTTGCTGTGCCGAGCTGGTCACACCGGCCACATGCACTCACCGCTGCAGCAGCAGCAGCAGCAACTCTTTACACCCGCATTATCACTCGCCGCGGCCACACAGCACACATGCCTACCATTCCCAACCGCACTGCCAGCACCCCGTAGCCCCATCCCATCACCACCAATTCCACCACCACAACAGGTGAGGTGAACCCCATGGCATGGATACCAGTACTGTCATCACCACAATCAATACACACCACAGAGCCCTTCCTGCTCGGCCCTGCAGGCTCCTCACCTCACACACCTCCCTCCCTCAATTTCATCCCCTCACTACCTTGCCTCACCTTTCGCCGCCTCCTCAAAGAGCAAAAAGGTTTGAAGGAACCTCATGGTCCAATCATCCGGCACCTCGGGAGAGGGTAATGTCAACACTAAGGGCTCCTTTCTCCGCTGTTCCCCCTTCCCGTCCCACAGAAACAATCGGCCCACAATGTGGTACCATGCGAGGGAAGGAAAGTGCCTGCGCAGCGACGCCAGCGTCTCAGGCTGAAACTGTCGCGTCGGGAAGTAAAAAAACTTCAAGGCTGGAGCATTGATGAAAGGAGGCCTGATCACTTCTCGCCTGCTGCCCCTACTCAGCAAATCGTAAGGATCTTCTTCATCCTCTATTGCCACCATGTCGCACTCCCCACCACCGCTGTTGCCCCTCACGCCAATCCCAAGGCAGCGCAGGCGGCTCCACTCTGCATCAACGTCCTCCAAAGGCCAGCCATGCTTCACCAGCAATGTCTCCACTGTAGGCGCTATGCTGCTTAGCAGCTGCGTCAAGGCGAGTCGAGAGGCGGAACCTGAAAGCGGAATTGATGGCGGGTCGACGTCGTCGTTGGTGGCGGGTCCGTTCAAAACTGCTAAGCCGACGGACGCCAATGGGAGCGAAGATATGGAGAGCTGATGGCGGCCAACTAGTTTCAGAGAGTCGAGAGCGAGAGGGCTGTCGCACTTGCAGTCGACGTGAAGAGACGCCGCTGTGAGCGAAAGGGTCTTTAAAGAGGCCGGAAGGGAGAAACGGGCTTCGAGCTTTCGGTTCCTAAAACTGAGTGTAATGACTCGAGCAACAGTGAACTCGAAATCAAGGATGTTAGAGCCATGACTGGTGAGGGTAAGTGAGAACTCATATAGCTGTGGTGAGAGTGAAGACAGGACAAAATAGTCGTCTCCGTAGGTAGACACATACTCGATGCTCAGACTCCTTAGCGCCTTGAACCATGCAGCATTCAAGCTCCACCGTCCACAGCCTAGCTTCAGCCGCTGCAGCTGGCCAAAATTCTCAAGAAAGGCTGGAGAGATCTCTCCGGTCCTGAAGTGGTTAACTTCCCCTTCGTTGGCAGATTCCTCGATTTCTAGGCTCAGGCTTGCGAGGGAGTGAGCAGAAGATGCTATAAGATCACCGATCGTCTGCAGATCCTTTAAGCTTCTGAAATCGAGGTCAAGGGACTTGTGACCTGGCTGTTGAAGGAACCAGAAAAGCGTTTTGTTCCACTCGGAATCGTGAGCGGTCTGTACGAGGGAGATAGGCTCCACCTCCTGCACACAGAGAGAGCATAACTTTTCAAGCTGTGACCTTTGACATCGGTTTACCACCGTACTGATATTCCTATTCCATGCTGTAAAATCTTCTGCAAAGGTGGAGGCTGTATGATAGCATGAAGAATCGGAAAAGAACTTACAGAGAAGGAGATGACGTGGTGGAGGAGCCTCTTGCTGGCCATGGCACAGCGCAGCAGAGGCCAGGAGGAGCCGAAGCACCTCGCATTCTCCTCATGCTGATCGCTGGCAGAATCCGGACTGGTATCAACAGAAGAGATGCTGCCTTCTCTCTCCTGCAATTCGGCCAAGGAGTTGCCCTGGTTTTGCAGCTCAGTGGAATCAGTCGGTGGCAGCAGCAGGTGGCGGAAGATGATGTGCCAGATGGGGCCAGGCAGAAAATCAACCACGTCTAGACTCTGATGCGTGGGTGGGAAAGATAATTTGAGAGAAGAGAGGGGGAAACGAGGGGAAGCAGAAGTAAGGTGAGGGACCAGAGGATCAGATGCAGAACCTGCTCTGCGGCATCATTCTCACCTCACGATTATGTGCAACCACGTTTGGACTCTGATGGATGGGGGAAGTATTGGAGATGAGAGAGGAGGAATTGAGGCGGTAGCAGAAGTGGGATGCGGAACCAGAGGATCACATACGCTGTCTGCCCTGCGGCATCATTCTCACCTCACGATTCCGCAGGGTATTTTTGAGAATTCTCAAAAATATTCTGCAGCATCAAGGTAGATGAGGAACAAAAAATCATGCGCTGTCCGCGGCATCACTCTCACCTCACGATCAAGGTGATGCCGGATTGTGAGCAGCCATCTCCTCCAGCACCTCCTTCCCATCGCTAGCCATGGCCTGCTAAAAATTACCATTATGTAGCACTGTCTGCGGCATCATCCTCACCTCACGATAATTTGCAGCATCAGACGGTGATGCCAGATTGAGAGCAGACATTTCCTCCAGCACTTTCTTCCCATCGCTAGCCATGGCCTGCGACAACTTACTACGTGGTCGATTCGTCTAGGCTAAAACATAGCTCGATGTTAAGTTGAGATCGCTGGGTTCAAATACGTACGGAAAATTCTCCCGCAACTGCCGGCGGCAATTCATTCGCTGAAGCTGAGTTAACGTCGCTGATTTCAAACATTGAACGAATGATATTCCGAATATCAAATGAGTATTAACTCTTCAGGAGAAAACGAGTCGTTTTTTTCCTGGTTGTCCTACGCGTCTCTCGCGGTGCTCGCAGAATCAATAATGAATGCCTCACGGACAGGCACGACGAGGTTCGACTATCAGTGCGAGCGTAAAGTCGCAATAAGCATCCCGTGCTTTTGCTCCTACCAGTGCGTTTCGAGACCAGTGGCACCAGCAACAGCGCCACGTGTCGACACGACATCCTAGCTCGGCTTGCACAGCATCCATGCTCGCTCTCTCGTCCGTCTAGTTGTCCGGCTGTCACATAAATGGGTGTCGCGTGAATGTCTGTCGCATGAACGACCTTGGGAGTTCGCAGAGAGCGACGGCCCGGGATTTCCAATTTTCCACCACCCCCCGCGCGGGGTCACAGTGGTAACCGTTTGAAAGTGTCCCACTTTTCGCTGCAGCCAACTACGTTTGATGAACATGTGAAACTAGGATTTGTTGTATCAAATTAAAACAACCCTGTAACAAGGCTTGCTTTTCGCACGCTCTGTGCACGCTGCACAACTTCCCAACCAAATTTTCTTAAAAACATCAGTTTCATTACCACCACCGCTACAACCCATCATCGCCTCACACCACCACAACACCAACGCTTGCCACTTACACTTTTGTAACCCCAACATACTTCCTCCTCCACTCTAACCGCACCCCTTCATTGCACAAGGTCACAGGCATTGAAGGCCATCCATAAAGCCGCCCACGTCCATCTCGCCACTTGAACCCTCAGCCGTCTCAAAGCGTGGAGCGTTTGAATTTGCAGCAGTCCGATGGGCACTCACACACACAATGGGCTGACTGAGCCGCTCGCTCCCAATGGGCTTCCAGCAGAAGGACCTACCAATGATGCAGTAGATCTCCAGGGAGGGGAAGTCCTCTTGCAGCGACACGAGCGTGTCGGAGTTGCAGCGGCGCGTGGCGAACAGGAGAGACCGCAGCGCAGGAGCATCGATGAAGGGAGGCCTTGGCGCTTCACGCTTCCTGCTGCACCTCCTGCTGCTGCTGCTACTGCTGCTGCTGTTGTCACCCCTGCCGCTGCCTCTATCTCCTCTTTCCCCACCAGCTCCATGCCTCGGGTACAAACGACTGATGAAGCCCGCGCGAGCTTCTGCTGCCTCCACTGTCGTCCTGCACCTTCCCCTGCCCGCCTTGCTCCCACGTACGCCGATTGCAAGACGGTGCAGCGCCCTCCACTCGCCCTCCACTGCCTCTATCGGCAGCGAGTGCGGCACCATCAGCGCCTCCACTGTTGGCGCTACTGATTGCAGCACGCGGATTAATGAGGATTCAGATACGGAAGAGGCATAAAGCTCCCGGGATTTGAAATGATGGCTGGGAGAACTCTGGAGGGGGCAAGGGGGGTTGGTGAGAGGATCAAACGACTCCTCGTGCATGCTCGGTGCGTTCAGGTAGACGTCTTTGGCTGATGCTAGTGGGAGGGATGACACCACGAGGCGCTTGCGACCAATCAGCATGAGGAAATCGAGGGAGAGTGGCGGGTCAGAGTGACATTCAAGATCCAGAGAATCCGCTGAAACGGACAAAGACTTGAGAGAGGCAGGGAGGGCGAGGTTGAGGTGCACACTGTGCCGGTCCAAAACGAGGTGGATGGATTGAGCAGCGGAGAAGCTAAAGTTGAGGGTGCAACCCCCCTGGTTGAGAACGTAGAGGGAGAGTTCTTGCAGCTGCGGTGTGATATGGGCAAGAAACTCGAAGTCTGAGGCGGTGCAGTGGGAATGGTGGACGGTGAGGGTCCTTAGGGCCGTGAGCCACGAGGGATTGAGGCTGCTGAGGTTCCAGTTGGCACGCTCGAGATGCAGCTGCTGCAGCTGCGGATAGTGCTGGAGAAACACCGGGGAGATGCGCTCGTGCTGTCCTAATGCATGCCGCTGCTGCTCGGCATGGCTGTGCTGCTCGGCATGTTGCTGTTCCTGCGCATGCAGGTCTTCCCAGTCGTATGCATCCCCGGGAGTGGGCCCCAGGCGAAGGGAGGTGAGTGAGTGGCCAGAGGCTCTCATTGTGCTGCTGAAGCTGTGCAGGTCCTCCAAGGTATGGAACTGAAGGATATTCTCTCGAATAGCCATCGCTGGCGGAGACTGAGCAGAAGTGCACACAACTTCCGAAGAAGATGGAAGATGGAACACTAAAAGCGGAAAATGGAAGAGCGCTGGAAGAAGATGAAAGCGCCACGACGATACCGGAAAGGGTGGTCGTGAGAGCGAAGCGACCGCGACACGGAGTCGGTCGGATGCGCTACCACCTCCCGGTTTTGCCGCGACTGACGCAGGGAAGGGAAATCGACTCAGCTATGGCACTCGGTCGCTAAGCAGGTCGCATTATGCAGGTGGCGGGGGTATGGCAGTAGCATCGCGTCATCATGTTCGCGTGGATGTAACGAGACTGGACTGAAGTTTCTAGACAGGCGTAACGATGAACCAACAACGTGCGATATGTGAATCTAGAATGCTCACTCGGAATGAACTGATATCTACGAATGGCTCGAAGAAACCACGGAACCCTAAATTTCGCGAATTTGAAATACGTCAGATCCAAAGAATCCATGCGAAAATTTCGTAGCAGGTAACGTGCTTGTGTCGTAAGTGCTGAATTTTTTCCGAGCTCCAGTCCACTGCTGGCAGCGCAACCCTAGTTCCACCCTTTCAACAGCAGAGTTGCGCGACACTTGGCGAAATATGTAACTCGCACATTCCCAGCCACGAGTGTTCTCGCCTTTGCCCTCGAATTCGTCAGATCCTCCAGCCAAGAGGAGACAAGAGTGACCCAGTAGGGAGAAACCACTTGTTTCCTCGCCACCGTCACTTGTGCTGCTCCCATAATCCGTTCTCCCTCATCTCCCTCCCTCATCTTCTACTCAGATCGTATGCTAGCTCGGCTCTGGCTGGCGCTGCCAACACTGTCTCCCCCCCACCATGCCTTTAGGGCAACGGGGACGGGATCGTTATATTAGGCCGAGAACTTTGACGAGAAGCGATCAGACAGTCTTCCATGCGCCGCTCGACTCACACGCTCATTCAGGAGAGTTTTGAGTCGACTCAAAACACACTTAGGCCGAGAACTTTGACGAGAAGCGATCAGACAGTCTTCCATGCGCCGCTCGACTCACACGCTCATTCAGGAGAGGGTTGAAAAAATGACATACTTGCGGATTCAGACGCTAGTGGTAACCCCCAGACTCCAATCACAGAACCCTGTCCCAAGATCATCCGCGCTCGAATACTAACGCGCATCAGTCTCGCGACATGAAAGCGTAGTACTCGCTACAGAGGCAATTTCTGACTCTTATCGCGTTGTCTTTGTCAGAATCCCAGTCACTAACCACTGGGATAAAAGGGCTTGTTTATATAGCGGGTGAGTGCGCCCATAACCCCCCAGACCGACGTGCCTGTAACCCTTCCCTAGGATCATCGGGGATCCCCAGTGGACCTCTGACACCCCCCCGCACTGGGATGCCCGAAGTGCACACTGTCAAATGTTAATGTTATGATAGGCTGCAGTGAGGCACTCCCTAAAGGGTACAACATTTGTAGGACTCCTATTTGTATGCTTGCAAACCCTAATTCCAATCATTCCGTTGCATGTAGACTTTGAGATGGTATCACGAGTAGGTATCGATCCTCCGTCACGCCTAGCGCCCTCCGCGCCCTCCGTAGCGCCTAGCGCCCTCCGTAGCGCCTAGCGCCCTCCGCGCCCTCCGTCACGCCTAGCGCCCTCCGCGCTCTCCGCGCTCCTAGCGCCCTCTCGCGCCTTAGCGCGGCCCTCAGCCCGCCCCACGTCGCGCCCCTTAGTAACCCCCCCTCCGTGCCCTCCCCTTCCCCTCACCGTCGTGTTACCTCCCGTCCCCCTGCCCGTCGCGTCGCCTCCCTTCCCCCTGCCCGTCGCGTCAACCGTCGCCCAGGCCCGCGCGTAGCCCGTCGCCCAGGCCCGCGCCTAGCCCGTCGCCCAGGCCCGCGCGTAGCCCGTCGCCCAGGCCCGCGCGTAGCCCGTCGCCCAGGCCCGCGCCTAGCCCGTCGCCCAGGCCCGCGCCTAGCCCGTCGCCCAGGCCCGCGCGTAGCCCGTCGCCCAGGCCCGCGCCTAGCCCGTACGCCCTGGCCCCCGCCCATCCCCACCGTCAAAACCGCCCACCCGCCCTTTCCCACCGTCCAAACCGCCCTCCCGCCCATTCCCACCGTCGAAACCGCCCTCCCCGCCCATTCCCACCGTCAAAACCGCCCTCCCGCCCATTCCCACCGTCAAAACCGCCCTCCCCTCCCCTCTCTCACTGTTCATCACCTTAGCCCCACCGCCGCCTTGTGCGCGAGGCCCTCCCCAAATCTGATGACACTGGACTATCCCTCAGCGGCTGGCAGCCGCTCTCCCTCGCCGGTCACCTAGGTTAGAGCCGTTTTAGCCACTCATACCTCGCTCCTCGCACCTGTAGCTGGCGATCCACGATTTCACGCCTAGTCTATGTCCTCCTCCTCCTCGTTTCTAGCTCCGCCTCCGCCGTGCTCCAGCCGCCTCTAGCATGGGCTCCGCTATGGAGGCCCGTCGCCTCCGTTTCGATGCGGAGGGACGCCCAATCGAGTTCGGTACCTGGCAGCGCCAGACCACACGCTTCCTCACCAGCCAGCGACAGGACGGCGCCACTCTGTGGGCTCACGCGTCTGGTGCCCTACAGGCCCCCCCGTCCCCCGCCGCCCTGCCGACCACCCCGGAGCCGACCCCTACGGCCCAGGCGGAGTACGACCGTCGGGTCCTGGCCAGGGACGTGTGGCTCTCGCGTGACGCTGCCGCCGCTCTCACACTGTCGGAGCTTCTCCCCCCGACTGAGGCCGCCCACTTTGACCAGGTGGAGACAGCCAAGGGGGTGTGGGATGCTATTGTTGCCCGCTACTCCACCCCCTCCTCCGCCTCCCTCAGTCGCCTCCTCATGCCGTTTGTGTTTCCCGACCTAGGCTCGTTTGCCACTGTTTCCGACCTAGTGACTCACCTCCGCTCGCTTGACGCCGGTTTTCGTGCTGCCTGTACCGACGCACAGCTCCTTGTTGCTCCCCCCCCCATGTGGCTCACTGTACACTGGTTAGTCACCCGCCTCCCTGACCGCCTTGCCACTGCCCGCGACGCGCTTCTTCAGAAGCACCCCACTGAGCTCACTATAGACCTCCTTCAGACTGCTCTCGGGACCATCGAGAGCAGCCTCCTCACCGTTGCCTCCGCCACTGATGCGGTGGCCCCCCGTCTCTTTGCGGGGTGTGCCGCCCCTCAGCTTCCCACTTTCACTGCTACCCGCGCTTCTGCTGCTGTGTCGGTTTCTGAGGACACCGCTGCCGTTTCTGCCGCAGACTGGCAGAAACGGGGCAAGAGTGGCAAGAAGGGCGGAAAGGGGGGAGGTGGGGGTGGTGGAGGCGGCGGTGGAGGTGGCAGTGGAGGTGGGAGCGGCGGTGGTGGCGGAGGCGGCGGAGGCGGCGGCGGTGGTGCACCAGGGGGAGGGGGCCCTGGAGGAGGTGCTGGACAGACAGGCCCACCCACAGGTGGAGGCCCGACCGGTGGGGGCGTTCCCCCACAGCAGCAGCAGCCACAGCAGCACCACCCGCAGCAGGGACAGCAGCAGCAGCAGGGACAGCAGCAGCAGCAGGCACCGCAGCAGTTCCAGCAGTGGGGGCCCCCGCTGCAGTGGGGTCCGCAGCAGCACTGGGGTCCCCCGCCGCAGTGGGGTCCGGGAGGCCCTGGGAGCACCAGCCGCAGCAGCAGTACTTCCAGCTGGGCCCCTCGCCCCCCTCGCCGTGACGCTGGCCCGTGCACTCACTGGTGCGTCACCGGGCCGGGTAGCCCCTGTCTCTGTGGTCGCGACGACCACTCTGCCGCGCGGTGCTTCCGCCGCCTCGACGACCTCTACCGGGCTCGTTGGGGCCCTTTGGCGAGCACGCCTCGCTGGTCTCGTCTGTTAGCCCGTAAGATTGATGTATTTGCTTTGTCCATGGACGATGCGCGTCAATATGCTTTGTATGTTGATGCTGACTCTAGTGCTGATGGATCTGTGTGCTCGCGTGTTCGTAGGTTAGACTGCTTGCCTCCTGCTAGTGTAGCCTTGTGCCTGTCTAGATTAGGTGCTTGTGTTGCTGCTCTAGGTGCTTGTGTAGCGACTGGGTCGAGTGACCCACCGGCTGAGGCCTCTCTTTCGTTCACGCTGGACTCGGGCGCGTCTCAGTGTTTCTTCCGCGACCGCACGACCCTTACGCCTCTCCTCACACCTGTGTCGGTGGCTCTGGCTGATCCTACCTCTGGACCAGCCGTTGCGCGTAGCTCCACCACCCTCCCGTGCCCTGTGGTCCCCTCTGGTGTCCTGCGTGGCCTCCACATCCCCTCGTTCACTCGGAACTTGGTGGGTGTTGGATACCTTCAGGACAGGGGGATCACGGTTACCTTCTTGGGGGGTGGGCGGACTGCAGTCTGTACTGACGCTACCACAGGTGCTGTTCTGGCCACGTTCACCAGGGAGCCCCGCTCCGGTCTCTACGTTCTCCACACCGAGCGCTCCCCGGTCGCGTCCTCCCCTCCGGTTGTTGCGTCCCCTCCGACCCAGGTCCCCAGTCCAGTGGCTGTGTCTAGCCAGGTAGTCGTGTCCAGTCCGGTCGCTGTGTCCAGTCCAGTCGCTGCGTCTTGCTCCTGTCGCTCTCTCGCCCACCGCACCGTTCTGTGGCACCACCGTCTTGGCCACCCGTCGATCCCTCGCCTTCGTGGCATGCTCAGTCACGGACTAGTCACAGGTCTCCCACGCACCTTCCCGTCGCTCCCTCTCTCGCTTGCCCCTCCTTGCTCTCCGTGCGTCGCCGGTCGCTTACGCGCCACTCCCCACTCCTCCTCCCTTCGTCCGGCCACCGCTCCCTTCGAGACTCTCCACTTGGACGTCTGGGGCCCTGCCCCGACGCAGGGGTCTGGGAGGGAGCGTTACTTTCTGGTGGTCGTCGACGACTTCTCCAGGTACACCACAGTGTTCCCTCTTGCGAAGAAGTCCGAG